AGTGGGTGGGGCGCTGGCTGTGGGGGCAGGGCCCAACTACTCCCGCCTCGCCCAGCAGGGGGCGCTGTGGGCACAGGGTGGGAGCTCTGTCCGGGGGCCGGGGAATGGAGCGGGTGCACTGGCTGTGGGTGGGAGCTCCCAGCTCTATGGAGCGCAAGGGGAGTGTTGGCCAGCCTGTGACAGGACCCCATGGCAGGGCCCTATGCATGACCCATAGCAGGACCCATGGCACAACCCCTGGTGGGCCCCATGGCAGGCCCTATGGCTCGACCCATAGCAGGACCCATAGCAGGCTCCCTGGCGGGCCGGCCACCTTACCCTCGACTTGGAGGACGACCTGTTTGATGCGCACGTCGGGCGCGTAGGTGACGTAGCAGCGGTAGTTGCCGGCACTCTCCGGGGTCACCTTGCTGAGGTAGAGCGCAGCGTTGCCGCTCCGCAGCCCCTCCACGTTCAGGTTGGCGCCCGGCCGGCTCCCGCTCACCACGTTGTCGAACTCCACCAGCTGCCCGCCCCGGTGGAACCACTGCACCACCAGCTGGCTCAGGTCCACAGGGGGCTGCGGCACGGAGAACTGGCACTTCAGCACCACGTCGTCCCCCACCTTGGCTCGCACCGGGGAGGCGTCCGTCTCCACTGCCAGCTTGCCGGCTGCACGGGCACAGACAGCAGGGGAGGGTCAGCGGCCGGGGAGGGGGTGACGCGGAGACCGGCTTGGCCCAGGGGTGACGCTGACACAGCCGCTCGGCCAGGAAGCAGCGGCCCCGGTAAAGCCGTAGGGTCCCTGCACCAGCACTGGGGATTGGGATGGAAGCGGGGACAGGGGGGGGATTGTCTCTGCCCTGCTCCCTCCAGCTCCCGGCCCAGTCAGGGGCACTGGCGATGGGGGTCTCCCGGGCCCCCCGATGGAGCCCTCCCCACCCTGCCCAGGGGGTCAGCCCCTCGGGGGCTCTGCCCTGCAGCGGAGGGCCGTGTTAGCCCCTCAGGGCGCCCCGTGTCCATGGCGGGTCCCGGCCACTCACCACAGCCCCCGAGGAGGCCAAGGAGGATGAGGAGCGTCAGCGGGGAGCGGCTCATCGCGACACTGGCGCTGTCTGTGTCTGCTCCACAGGGCGTCAGGCTCAGACTGGCAGCACCCAGCCCCCCGCTCGGCCAGGGGCAGCGTTATCGGGGGCAGCAGCAAACGGCTCCGTAACGGGCGGGAGGGCGCGGCCCAGCCACGGCTGGACCCCGGAGATAAGGCTTGTACTGATCATTCGCTGACATGTGCCCCACGGCGCCCGGCCTGGGC